CTCTATTATCACCACCACCATTATCACCCCCTCCACCACCATCACCACCAAAAACCACAAACCACCAACACCATCACCACTACCATCACCACCACCACCATCACTGCCATTACAACCACCATCACCACCACCACCCCCACCACCACCACTATGAACGCAACCACCATCACCATGACTTATACTTCCACAACCATCAGCAACAGTACTGCACCAGAGGCTATATTTTTACTTAACAAACCTCGCCCATCAGATAAGGTGACCAGCAACACCTTCAGCTGGGCTGACAAAGCAAGGCTGAACGCTCCAATGACCTTCACCCCTGCTACAGCGATCTCAGGGCTGTGTGATGTTTCTGCGTTTCTCCCTGGCAGTATACAGCAACGACACCAAGACCAACAACAGCAGCAACAACAACAGCTGAAGCAAACTCAATTTCTGCAACCGCAACAGCAGCTGCATATTCGGCAACAGCAACAACATCATCAACAGCAGCAGCAGATAAATCGAGACATCTGTCTAAATCCCTTTGTGGGCAATATTGACAGCGTGTTTAATAGAACTCTTCCTACTTTCCAACAACGTAGACATTTATCAATAATTCAGCAGCCCCTAAACCAGTTAGAACCTCAGCAGCAGCTACCGGTGCCCTTGTGGTTGCAACAGCAGCAACAGCAGCAACATCAGCAACAGCAGCAGAAACAGCAGCAACAGCAGCAACAGCAGCAACAAAAGCAGAAACAGCAAATGGGAGAGGTTCTGTCCCATCGGCAGCCCAAACCACGTTCCGCAATTGGCCAAAAGCCGACGTCCAATCTCTCGGAGCATGATAGCAGCCAACCCCTAAACCCTCCCAGTCCCCCGGTGTTGTTTCCGTCGGACCTGAGAGATGATGACGCGAGTGACCCTGGTCTTGCAGAGAGCAGGAGCAGCAACTTCCCCGCTTTCCATGATGTCAGTTCCGGGGACATTGTTGCCGATCTCATCTCAGATTCGCTGTTCATGGAGAAGGTTGCGATAAATCAAGTAAGCCACCCCCCCCCCCCACTTCAAAATGTTGACGGATAAACATATTCATAATATAGAGTTAAGAGTACGGACTAAAATACTGTTGCTAAAAAATGAATTTTTATAGAGCTTTTCAATCCAAATACTGTCAATTCTATGCTAAAAAAGTGACAAGGAAGGGGAAGATAGGTTTTAAAATTTTTTAAAGACTTTCCTCAGTATGGCTTTTATCGATATCATAAAGCGTGAGTTCTAAGACTCATATCCTGAGTATGTGAATGAACTTTGGAAGGAAGATACGCGATGTAATTTTGTTCACTTTTTCCCTCAATCTATTTCCTTTGCAACTCAGCTCAAAATATCGAAAAGTCTTGAATTGAAACAAATAACAAACTTATTTACTTTCCTTTTTCCTGGGAGTCAAGGTGGAGGTGGGGATTCGAAACGTTTCCCTTCTCTATCTCAAAACCAATTGAAAATGGATTCAGATTTGTAGCCGGCGCTTGACAAACTTAGTCTATTAAAAGGCTGACTAGAACTATTTTTATCAAAAAGCATAATTATTTTCTCTTTCAGATTCGTCTGCAGTTTCTGAACTCCCGCCTGAGGGATGCTGCCCGAGAATGTTCCATGAACTCACTGCGAGACTCGGCGTTTTCCTCCAACCTCGACTACTACGCCTCACTCTACAAGCTCCGGATCAAAGACATGATCAGTCCTGAGCGCTGTGGCGAACAAACGCAACTTGGAGCGACGGGTTCGGGAACTATCTTTTGGTTTTCTTTGTTTTTAAAATATTTTATCTATTTATTTATTTATTTATTTATATATTTATTTGTTTTGCTTATTTATTTGTTTGTTCTTTTGTTTATTTATCTATTTATGTATTTATTTATTTGTAAAAATATTTATATGTTAGTTTATTTATTCGTTTGGGGAGAGGGTTCAATTGGTGTTTTTTTGGAAGGGGGGGGGGGTTGGTTGACCCACAAATAAGACAGAGAGTAGAGAAATTATATGTATAGAAACACTAGACACATTGTCATGACAAGCAAGGCCCCTTTCTATTCAAAAGTCTTATTTTAAGCAACTGCATGGTAAGGCGATCTGTAATAATAGCAAAGAGTGATGAAAGAGATACCGCATTCAAGTTGAATTGAGACTTTCTCATGGAAACTGTCTGTCTGTCTGTCTGTCTGTCTGTCTGTCTGTCTGTCTGTCTGTCTGTCTGTCTGTCTGTCTGTCTGTCTGTCTGTCTGTACAAGAGTTGATACTAATGAGGTTTAACATGACAAAAAGCTATGTCACCACAAAAGTCTGCCTTCCATAAGTGAACTCCCATAATCCATTTCAGACAATGCTGCTCCTCCCGGATTCGTTCAAGGAAATCTTTCTCGTCCTGACTTTGACCTGTCATCGAGCCTGTTCCAGTGGCCATCCGATGATACAGAGATCAGGCCGAGCTCTCCGGACAGAGATGTTCCTCGCTATAGCAGGTTTGCACGTACACACGAACGTTGACGGGTAGTCACAGACTCCAAGGCGCTGTTCACTTTTTGTTAAAGATTGAGGTATTGTTTAAGTGCGTATATCTCGCGAGCTGAATATTTTTCAGTTTTGATATTTTAGGGGACGATATATCTTAACTGTCAAGATGTTAAAATGTTTGGGGGGGGGGGGGTTCTTTCAGCCCCAAATCATTATGGTCAATGTCCTTGTCTAGCAGAATATTAGATTCCTTTTGTACTAATTACTGTTTAGACAATTGGAATTCAATGCTTTCAATGTGCTTTGTGTCAAAACTGGGAACATGGAAATGACAAGAGATAACATTAAGGTTTAGTGCCCCTGTAATGCGACGGGTAATAGACACGAACAGCTTATAATATCCCAATCAGAAGCAATTTAAGCTAATTTACCGTCTCAACTTACAGGAATGAAGGACAGTGTAAAGCTCGGTTACATCCTCAAACACTTTAATTCACATATTAATATTTGATTGTAGGGCATAAACAACGTATCTAACAGGAAATCAATTTTGTCTACTTTGTGCTCTACAATGAATCAACGACTCCTTTATCACTATGTATGACTCTCCTCTCTCCAGTAATAGATGTGATATTTTATAAGAAGAGCCTAAAATTTACCGTTTGTCTGTTATTGTAACCCAAGAATCACACTTTCCTGCAATGTATATCATGTCTGTCTGTGATTTGCCCAGGCGTTGGCGTGACGCAATGAGCAGGATCCTGAGCAGTTTGTGGACAACACGGATACAGCACGGAAGTATAATCCTGCCTGCATCACCCGTGGACTTCCGCATTAGCCAGGGGTGAGCTGCCTCTCTAGATGCACCAAGTTATGCATTTACCTTATCATCATCATGAAGTTCCTGTTCTTCAGCAGACATCGGCAGTTATAGTTTGCCACTCCTTTCTCTGCTCAGATGCTCTCAGAATCTTATATTATCATTCTATCGGTCTTTCACAGTCATTTATTTATTTAAGTTCTCTTAGTACGTTGTTCTTGGTCAATCCATGCCTTGTTATCCTTCTATTTTTTCATCGAGAGCAAGATGTTCAGAACCTTTTGTCGATTTAATTGCCACAGGCACTGCACTTATCGCTTTTCGTTTGCGTCTGCATCATTAATTTAAATTCTTAAAAGTATGACATATTAATTATAAAGTAAACTTCTGTCATCCTCTATTTACTCAATGCCTTGTTCTTTAGCAAACTGAGTTGTTGTTGCAGTACAATGGGGTTGAAGCTATTTCAAACTGAAACAAGAAACAGTGAGCTGTGATCGTCGTAATGGGCGGAGACGTGGAAAAATGGGAGGGCAGGGTTATAGTTATATTTTACTTTTACCATACTTTTTGTTCAGAGAGTTTCCTCTGGTTCTGGGGCTGACCACTGAAGGTGCAGAGGTGGCTGTCTTAATACTGGACAAGTCACGTGCTTATATCGACCCGTGCCTGTTGGACATCATGTGTGACCCTGAGCTTGATCACCACTTCATTCTTAAGTGCAAGGTTTGTACTATTCGTTATCACTTGTTGTTTACGGCGTGTCAGAGAAGTGTTACACTTCGCTACCCTAGAATTACAAAGTTCTATCTGCTCAGTACCTAGATTTGAGAAATTTGACGTAAAAAAAACAACAGAGTTTCACAACATGCTTTTAAGCTTTTTTGAATGCTGTTCTTTCAATATCTTAATAACGACCCCAAACAATTTTATAATTTTGACAGAGTGGATAGATCGTTTGGTTTCTTACCTCATGGCCTTACTAACTCCGGACAAAAAGTCAGATATTCCCAAAAAGTCTTTTACTGTCTCGCTAAACATCTGAAACTACACGATAGATTATTCGTTATTAATGTACGAAGGAAAAGTAATTTTGACAACTGTAAGCATATTACTTTTTACACGCTCCATATCACATCTCATTCAATGAGAGTGCCTTCATAAGAAAGCAAAGTGAAATGGCAAAGTCTGGATAAAATCCAAAGGGGTGGGTGAAGGTTTATTAAATTCTCTTTCTATATATAGCGTTCTTGATGCCCAGATGCTGATCAAATCCAACTGTTATTAACACAAAAAATACTACCTAACTCTCTGTTGTTCGATGTAGGCGATTTGCTTTACTGGAGATTTTGCCAAACTCATAATAATTGAAATTTGACCACACCCTCACCTGTTGTATCTTATAATTTGGAAGGCAAATGTCCACTAATAATTAAGCCGGAATTTGCTTGACCTACTGCGTACATCTCGGGTCTCAACTTTCTGTGGGACAAAATTGATATAAGAATGACATCCTACTCAAAAGACACAATACATGTCTTTTAAGAATGGGGGGTTAGCATGGGGGCTCAAGTTGACTTTTACCAATATTTATAACCCACTCCACTTGGTTCGCCTCTTTCTCTCTCTCTCTCTCTCTCTCTCTCTCTCTCTCTCTCTCTCTGTCTGTTTGTCTGTCTGTCTGTCTGTCTGTCTGTCTGTCTGTCTGTCTGTCT